TTGCCCGAAGAATGAACAAATCTGTCTTGGAAGAAGTACAGCCAGAATGAATCTTAAAAGCAAGGATGGCAAGACTTCATCTCACATACTTTGGACATGTTATCAGGAGGGATCAGTCTCTGGAGAAGGACAGCATACTTGGTAAAGTGGATGGTCATTGAAAAAGAGGAAGGCCCTCAATGATATGGTTTGACACATTGGCTATAATAATGGGCCCAAGCATAGTAAAGATTGTAAGGATGGTGCAGGACTGGGCAGTGTTTAGTTCTGTTGTACATTGTGTCACTATGAGTTGGAACTGACTCGACAGCACCTAACAACAATTTATTGAAGAGACTCTTCTTTCCCCATTGAATGGATTTAGCACCTTTGTCAAAAATCAGTTGACCGTAGATGTTTGCAAATAAATTATTTAAAAAAAATTCAAGGGTGGAGGTCTCCAGTATATCCACATTTAATTCAGCAGTCTGCCCCCGCAAAAACAGGTTGAATCATGGAGAATTACAGTGGGTCACAAAGACTTAACAAAGCCATTGTAGATGGTGTGGTGTCTTTGCTAAAGTAGATTAACAGAACATGGGTACATGGTATGCTGTTATTGATTTGAAAAATGCATTCTTCTCCATACTTACCAAAAAAAAAAAAAAAAAAAAAAGGATCAGAGGCAGTTTGCATTTACATAGGACCAAGAACCATATATGCATGGTCTTGATCCAAGGCTATGTTAATTCTCCTTCTCTTTGTCATAACATAATCTAAAGATAACTGAACCATCCCAACATCCCACGAAATATCACATCGCTCCACTATATTGATTACCTCATGGTAATCGTGCCTGATGAGCAAGAAGTCCTAAGTACTCTGATATCTTGATAAGATGCATGCACTCCAGAGGGTGGAAGATAAGCTCTACAAAAATATTTGGAGCCTGCCACATGGGTAAAATTTTTAAGTGCCCAGTGGTCTGGGTTGGCTTGGTGTATAGATGTCAAAAATGGACTGCTGCTTCACTATAGCCCCACTCAGGGATGGCTCTAAATGATGGTGGTGAGTGGAAATCCTCCCAATGGGTGGAGCTTCAGGCAATGAAACAGTATGTGGAGTGGGAAATGGCCTGAGGAAAAGGCAAGAAAAAATACAATCAGAATGTTCCTTAGAAGTGAGGATGGTGAAACTTTTCTTGCTTACTTTGGACATATCATTAGGAAAGACCAATTGCTAGGAAAGGACATCATGTTTGGTGAAGTGGAGGGTCAGCGAAAATGAGGGAGACCTGCAATGAGATGGACGGACACAATAGCTGCAACAATGGACTCCAACATACCAACAATCCTGGAGATGGTGCAGGACTGGGCTGCGTTTAGTTCTGTTATATATAAGGTTGCCATGAGTCAAAGCTGACTCAATGGCAAATAACAGCAACAACCAGGGCATGCATAGGCTTATGGGCTGAGGTGAGTGGCCTAGCTAGCTGGCTGGGGGACTGAAAGAAGTAATATTAGAAGACTGGGTACAAGAAAGTCTACAGAAGAGGCAGTGGATGGACCTATGTGAGTGGGCGCAAAGGGTGAGAGTCTTCGTTTTACAGGTTAATGCCCACTAGAGCCCATCCATGGTAGAAAATGCACTAAACAATCAAGTAGACATGATGACTTGGCCAGCAGATGTCAGCCAGCCTCTGTCCTTGGCCACCCCAGTGCTCACTTAGTGGGCTCATGAATGGAAATCGTCAATGGTGAAAAATTTGGAGGCTGTACATAGGCATGAATGCATGGTCTCCCTGTCACCAAGGGTGATCGAATGCCACTGTCACATGCTCAACCTGCCAGCAATAGAGATCAAAACTGAGCTGGTTTATATTATCTTTTGAAGAAACCAACTGGCCATTTGGCAGCAAGTTGATTACACTGGTCCCTTCTACTATGGAAAGGGCCATGTTTTGTGCCGACTGGTATTGAGATGTATTCTTGATATGGGTTTGCCTTTTCCGCCTGTAGTGCCTCAGCAACACCTCTCCAGGGACTCACAATGTTTCATCTGTCAACATAGGATCTTGGAAAACATCACCTTGGATTACTAAGACACCTACTTCACTGCGTAAGCGGTGCGGTGGTGGGCTCATAACTATGGGATCCACTAATCCAACCATGTACCATACCTCCAGAAGCTACTGCTCTGATAGAACAATGCAAGGGCTTCTTAAAAGACATAGCAGAGGTGCTAGTTTGGAGATGACACCCTGCAAGGATGGAATATACAATTTAAATCAATGGCTGTTACATGGTTCTGTGTCCCCAACAGGTCTAGGTGGCCCTGCTCATTATCACTCCCAGTGACAAAGTTGGGGGATTCATGCTTCCTGTTTCTGCAACTTTAGACTCTGTCAGTTGCGACCCTGGTCTCCAGAAGAGGGACATTTCTACCAAGTGACACAGTAAGAGTTTCCCTAAACATAAAGCTATAGCTGCTGCCTGGACACTTGGAGTTCCGTGTGCTGCTAAACTGTAAGCAAAGAAAGGGGCAAGCGCTCTGCAAAGAGGTAATTGACTCTGATCATCATTAGGAGGAAAGATGTTGCTACATAGCAGGGGCAAGGAGGACTATGTTTAGCACTCAGGTGATCAAAACTCTCTCTTGGTACTCCCATACCCAGCTGTAACTATGGAAGGGAGGAGCCCTGATGGCAAAGTGATTAAGAGCTCAGGCTGCTAAACAAAAGCTTGACAGTTCCAGTCCACCAGCTGCTCGTTGGAAACCCTATTGGGACAGTTCTACTCTGCCCCATAGGGGCGCTGTGAGTCGGAATCGACTCGATGGCACACAACAATGCAGCTACCCCAGTCTGACAAAGACGTGGTAAGCTGGGGCTCACTCTCAACCCACGAGGCAATCCACCCAGACCAGCAGAAGTGCTAACCAGAGGAGAGGGGCCTCTAGGATGGGTGGTGGAAGAGGGAGATTCGTATCTGTTTGGGCACAGGGTCTGCTTTAGTGGGGGCTATGGTTCGTCCTCTCCCACTAACCCTCCTTTTGTACATTTCCCCAGAAACTGTGACCACTCAGACTCTGGTGAAGCTCTTCGCTGATGGAATGCACATAATTGAGAAGCAGGTGGAGCTCCATAATGTAAAAGGTGTGCTGCAGGGGATGTTGTGCCCATCCAGATACTTAAACCTGCCTGAGCCTCATCCCCCAGTACCTTGAGTGTTGGCTGATAAAACTCATAGTTGCCCATTTCCCCAGAAAATTGTCCTTGCTAAAACCGGAGCCACTTTGCCCTGGAGGCTGCGATCCACCCCCTCCATCCCCTCCTCCCCATGCACTTGGCCAACTGGGCCATGACTCTCCTTGAGGCAGTTTGTTCTCCAGAGCTTCCCCCGGGCCAGGGAGCGCTGCAGCTGGCCTCCAGCCAGACCACAATCTCGTTTAGCTTCTTGCCTCCTGCCTGACCCTGCTTCCCTCCCTCTCTTTCTCCTCAGAGAATTCCCCAGTAATCACTGGAACAAGAATTCCCTTCTTGGGCTCTGCTTCCAGGAACCTGATCTAAAATAGTTATGTAAAACCAGTAATGATGCTGAGTTTTATGTATGTGAATTATATCTCAATAAAGCGGTTATATTTTAAAAACCAGTGCTCACTACAGACATCACAGTCACTTTTCCCTCCACTCACCAGTGTGATTCCAGCCCGAAAATCCCTGGTCAGGTGAAATCTCTTAAATTGAAAATGTAAGTATCAGTCATTTAGATGGGAAAAATTACTGTTCTTGAGGTCCCAAATTTATACCCATTCCTGCTAAAACACTAAACTCCACTGAAATGATCTGTTACATGACTTCAGTAGTTAACTTGGATCACGCTAGTGTGACAGACGGAGGCAGTTTCCCTTCATTAATGTGGTTTATGATCTGTAAGTTCTCTATGGTGTTTATACCCAGTACTGAAGGCCCACAGAATATGCACATATACTCATGGTTAATGTAATCCAACCTTTACTGAAAAAAGAGAACAGTAAAGAAAATAAATAATGGAAACTATGCAAATGACGCATGAGATTATCATAAAAAACGTACTAGTGAGTCGCGAGTACGTGGCAAGGCGCCACGCCCAGCACTGTGGGGGCAGTGCAGCGGCCCCTCTGCAGCCCTCGGCCACCTGCCAGGGCACAGCACCCACACGAGTCCTCGGAGGCATGAAGGTGTGCCTCACGTGCTGAAGGAGGTTTGAAGGAAGCTGTTTTTGAAGCAATTTCTTCTGTTTCGAGAGGGTGTGTCTTGGGGTTTGGCTGTACTGGACTGCTATCTACCAGCAATCACGTCTATCCCTAAACTGGCAGGTGACGCACTGGCCGCTCTGCTTGGCTTCCGTGGTGAGCTCTGTTCCCGTGGCCTCAGCCTCACTGTGCGCCAGGGCGCCTGACGTACCTCCAAGAGCTCCTGAGACCCAGCTGGTGCTCAGACATCCATGAAATGAACAGCTGTCTGCTCAAAACCTTGTTTAAAAAAGTTGGTTGGGGACTAGAGTACTGGACTATGTGGAAAAGCCCAGAGGCCTCCAAATTCTGCAGGGTGGGAGGGGCTGGTCAGGGTTAGAAATCATCCCCTTGGTGGAAATGTGAGGACAGGCCCTGTGGCCAGGAAGGAGGGGCTTTTCCTTTATTAGACACCTGGGCATGTCCCCTGACTCCTGTCACTATCCCAGGTCCAGCGGCAGGGCTGACGCTGACCCCTAATTCCACTTCGGGGAGACAGGGACCTCTTACACCTGCCTAGGGGGTGTGCTGTTGCTCACCCCATCCCTGTCCTTGACTACGGGAAGGGGACCGCCGTGTAGGGTCGGACGTCATGGGCAACAAAGGTGGGGAAGGATGAGTGGGTATGCAGGAGGCGGGGCAGGACTCAACTCAGAGCTAGTGGGGTGCTGGAGGGAGGGGTACTTTGCAGGGGCTCTAGCCCCACCCCCATCCCATCACGGAGAGAGGCTTCCTCTGGACTTCTGCGCTCAGGATGGGGGTGGGCTCTCGGTGCTGCCCCGCTGCCCTTGGCCCGGCACATCCTCCTCTTTCTGCTCCAACTCGAAGTTCTGTGAACAAAGTGGCAGGTGAGGCCCAGCCGTGCGTGTACCCGTCTGTGGCTGACACACTGGGGCCTGGGCATGGCGCACCTGTGCTGCCTGCAAAAGCAGGAAGAGCCACACTATCGGGTTCACATTCTGCGTCCCGACACACGGCCGACCTACCTCCAGCTCCTGCAAAACCTCGTCCATGAAGTCCCGGGAGTTCTGTTTGTAAGACACAGCCAATCGAATTGCATCGTTGAAGAGCTGGGGCAGGTGGGGACAATGGGAGGGAAACGTGGCAGTGGCTGGCGTGCCCTGGCCTTCCCCGCCCCACGCCACTGGCCCCACGGTGAGTCCATCTGGCACTCTATCCTCTAAAAGCTGCCCAGCCCACCTCACCAAGCTGGCCCATCCTCTCCCCACCCTGCTTCCCAAAGCAGCGTCCATCCCCCTCCTCCATGTCTCCGCCACCCAAGCCCCTCCTCTTAATGGTTCCCTGTTCACCTCCCAGCCACCCCCCCACCCCAGCTGCAGTGGACCGCCTTTGCAGCCCCTTACCTTCACGACGTTGGTACCATCAGCAGCTGAGACAAAGTACAGAGGCAGGGAGAACTTCTTGGCAAAATTGAAGCTTTTTTGGGTCACCTTAATGTCTGCTGCAGAGAGAAAGTAGGACATGGCATGTCCACAAGGGGAAGTGGGGTGCTGAGGGCCAACGCCTGCATCCTACAATGGGGTCCACCAACGGGCCTTTGCCCTAGGCAAGGGCAGGCTCTCTCTTGGGCTTGGGGGAGCTGGGTGAAAGCGTGTTGTCCCAGGACAGGAGGAACGTGTGGTGGTCCCCAGTGCCCACCGTCAATCTTATTGGCCACCACGACGCAGGGGATCTCGGGCCTGAACTCCCGAAGCTCCGTGTACCAGGTGCTCAGATTCTTGTACGTGACTTTCCTTTGCACGTCAAACACCTGCAAGGAGCAGAGGTGGTGCTTGAGGATCTCAGCGTGTCTTCGCTCCACCCAGGATCCTGCATGAGCAGGCAAGCGCAGCCGGCAGGCTCTGGCCCTGCTTTGTGACACAGCCCCTCCAGCCAGGGGCTGTGCCACCTGAGCGCGAGGTGCCAAGCCCTTTCTTCAGATCTTTTATTCCTTGTTTGTTAGTCCTATTTAGCGACTGTGAACACCGTAAGTTGCGTCACTGTCCTGACTGACACAGCCCGTTTCCCACCACCTGTCAGTCGGTTGTACCGTGGGGGCTTGTGTGTTGCTGTGATGCTGGAAGCTACGCCACTGGTATTGCAAATACCACCCAAGTCACCCAGGGTGGACAGGTTTCAGTGAGGCTTCCAGACTTAAGACAGACTAGGAAGAAAGGCCTGGTGATCTACTTCTGAAAATTAGTCGATGAAAACCTTATGGATCTCAACAGAACACTGTCTGACTTGCATGCTCTGGACATGTCATCAGGGGGGATTAATTGCTGAAGGACATCATCTTTGGTGAAGCAGAGGGCCAGCAAGGGCAAGGGAGACTCTGTGTGAGATGAACACGTTGGCAGTGGTGAAGATGACGCAGGACTGGACGACGTTTCCTTCTGCTGTACGTGGGGCCTCCGTGAGTCGGAGATGACTCGACGGCGTCTATCACGTATAATCGTAATTTTTTTGTTTTCTTCTTAGTCTATTCTTATTTTTATTGCTTAAACTTTGTTTTAAAATTCCTTTGTAATAATTTAAATGTTTCTAGAATTTTCGTTTAGTTTCTACTGATTTATTTTCAGTTCTAAACTTTTTAATCTTCCATTCATTCTGTATTTACTCTAAATTTTTTAGAAGTACTTATTTTTTATTACTTTGTAGCTTTTTATCATAAATTTTTATAGTCTAACTAACTATAATTTGTTGTTTTTACCTATTTAAACATATTTAACCTATTTTAAACTGCCAGCAGGAAGCATGAGCACCGCAGACCAGCTCTAAACGGCTCTCGGACGGCACGGCTCTCGGACGGCACAAGCTGCTGCCCCAGGGACCCTTCCATCAGGCCCCTCACAGGAGCTCCCTGGAAGCGCCCCACGTGACAGCAAGTGGTCAAGGACAGCGATCAGCCTGCTGCAGCACCGGCCCCTTCGCAGGAACACCGCAGCCCAGGCCCTGGGCTGAGGGCCCAGTGTCAGCGAAGGACTGTGCTGTCCTCGACCCCAGTGAAGGTTCCTCACGAGCTGTGTTTGCAATGGAACGCCCGCAACAGCCCACACGGGCTGCCTCACCATCGTCACCTTCTGTCCGCTTCCAGGGCGCCCTCTTGGTGGTGGGTGCTCCTAGCTTCCTCCCTTTAGAGCTGTGCCCTCCGGCATGAGGCTAGGTGCCTGCAGGGACAGGCAGCTCCAGGACAGACACCCCCGGAACTCAGAAGAGGGGCCAGAGGCAGGCAAGGTCACCCCAGGAGGGAGGAGGCAGTGTGTGACTCCCGGGCAGGGGGGCCTCCATCCCTGCACCCAGCACCAGCACCCAGGTGGAGCTGGAGCCAGGGGCTCACAGTGCTGTGTGAGCAGAGCAGTGATGTTAATGGGAGTCTCAGAGGCCACACGGGAGCAGGCCTGGAGAGCGCAGTGTCAGGAGAGAGGGTGGCAACGGGAGCGGAGGGAGCAGCCTGAGGGCGGAGAGGGGTGGGGAGCAGACGGTAGCCCCCTCCTTCCCTACCACACGTGACCACAGCAGAAGGAGGCCCTGTGACTCTCAGGCCCCGCACAAAGGACACACTACGTGCACCCGGCTGTCGACGCTTCTCTTGGAGCGGGTCATGAGGAAGCCCCCGTCACCCCTGAAAGGGGTCCAGCCCAAGACGTCATCGCCCCTGCCTGCGTGGAGCAGACGGACAGACTCCTGACCTGAGATTCACATGCACATAGAGGTACTTTACACCAAGTGCATGAAGGCAGGCCCTGGTACTCAGTCTGAACAAGGCTCCTGCTCGTCACTGACCGCTGCTGGGGCTCACAGTTCAGAAAAGTGTCCAGCGCCACATACTGGAAGGCAGGCATCCGCGTGTTTCCTCAGCGGAAGTGGGTTAGTGTCCAGAGACGGTGGCTGAGGCCCAGACCGGCCAGTTCACAACGGGCCCCAAGCGCGGGCACTGGTGGCTGCCTCCTTCTCCCCAAGCTCCCAGGACTGTTGTCGAGGAGGCTTGGGTTCTGGAGGGCAGCACTGTCCCAGCCCAGGTATCTTAGTCATCTAGTGCTGATATAACAGAAATACTAAGTTTATTCTCTCACAGTTTAGGAGGCTAGAAGACCCAACTCAGAGCACTGGTCTGAGGGGAAGGCTTTCTCTCTCTGTCGGCTCTGGAGAAAGGGGTCTTCGTCTCCTTTCAGAAACTGTGGGCCTGGCATTCCTTGGAGATCTTCAGGTGTCTCCTCATCAATCTTCACCTGGGTCTAGGAGGTTGTCAGTGCAGGGATCCCGGGTCCAAAGGACACTCTGTACTCTCGGCTCTTCTTCCTTTGTAGTAGTGAGGTCCCTCTCTCCTCTCTGCTCGCTTCCCTCTCCTTTTACCTCTTGTAAGACAAAAGGTGTGACTCAAGCAAGGTTGTGACTTGAATAAGGTGGTGACTTGAGTAAGGCGGTGACCTGAGTAAGGGTGTGACCTGAGCAAGGCAGTGACCTGAGTAAGGGTATGATTTCAGTAAGGCGGTAACTTGAGTAAGGGTGTGACTTGAGTAAGGCAGTGACCTGAGTAAGGGTGTGACCTGAGTAAGTGTATGACTTGAGTAAGGCGGTGACCCGAGTAAGGGCATGACTTGAATAAGGCGGTGACTTGAGTAAGGGTGTGACCTGAGTAAGGGTGTGACTTGAGTAAGGGTGTGACCTGAGTAAGGGTGTGACCTGAGTAAGGGTATGACCTGAGTAAGGTGGTGACCTGAGTAAGGGTGTGACTTAAATATGGTGGCAACTTGAGTAAGGACGTGACCTGAGTCAGGCAGCGTGACTCAAGATGTACCCTACCCTGATCCCCACCCTAGAGAAGGCCACTGGGAGAAGCCTCACCTAGGAGCTCTGGGGAGCATGTGTGGTTTGAAGCTGCCCGGGTGGCCCGACCCCACCGCACCAGCTCCCAGCCTGGCATGCGTTCGTACCATGATGCAGGCGTGGGCCTTGTGGTAGTAGGAGGCGTGCATGCTCTGGAACCGCTCCTGGCCTGCCGTGTCCCAAAAGTCTGCAACAGAGACACAGCTGTGACTGCCCAGAGCATACCCCCACCCCCGAACACCCGGGTGGGTCTCTGCAGAAACGCGGACCGAACGTGTGCATGTCAGGTTAGGAGACAGTGCACCCAAGTCTGAGGCAAGAAGACTGCTGAGTGCATGCAAATCTGTATGTGTCTGTGTGTGTGTGCATGTGCACGTGTGTGTGTCTGCATGTCCCATGTCCATCTGTGTGTCTGTGTCTACATCTGTGCGTATGTCTGTGGAAGGTCAGAACCCTTTGTGGGGGAGAACATTCAGACCACATTTAATATTCTGTTACACTGGCCGAATTAGAACCCCCAAGACTTGGGAAAGCGACTGCCTTGAACCTCTGCGCCTCACCTTCCACCTTTCCGTACCCCCACACCCAATGCTGGCTCAGAAGCTGGGGCAGCGCCCTCCTTCCGTGCCCCCCACCAGCCTCCTGGCTCTCAGGGTCCTCCCCACCACCACCACCCCCTCCCTGGCGTCTCCTTTCCTCCTTCTGTGACCCTTTCCCACCCTTTCTCCTCTCTGTGCCCCACCTCTCAGTCGCCCTCCCTCTCTTGGGGGGCTGCTCACCCACGAGGACGGTCTTGCCATCCACCATGGCTGTGTGCTTGTACAGGGTCAGGGCATATGTGGACAGCTGCTGGGGCTGACTGTAGGCCGGTCAAGGAGCCAGACATGCAGAAGGGAGTAAGGGAAGGGTCTGAATGAGTAAGATGTATGAATGGACTTGGAATTGAGCGGGTGCTGTGGGCAGGCACCCCTGGAGACAGAAGGCCAGCTCCAGATGCGGTTGGCACAAGAGCAGCCACCCCAGGGGAGCTCTGTGGAGGATGAGGGTGGGAGGGCCTGCAGAGTGCCCAGACCATCCAAGTCCAAGGAAAAACGGGGAGAATTTTCCAGAGAAGCTGTCACGAATGGTATCTTGGAGCCGGAAAAAATGCATGGGAGCCCCAGCTCCTTCTGGTGGAGAGAAAAACCCCACCCCAGGTTGTCTGTAAATCAAGGGGTGGGGAGGGTGGGGAAGGTGGGGAGGGTGGGGAGGTGGAGAGGGTGGAGAGGGGCCCCATCCCAGGTGCCAGAGTGGGTCTCGCTCTGACAACCTGGGGGCGGGAGGGTTTGGCAGCTTGTCGAGGCTCGTTCACAGCAGAGGACTTGTTAAGGGTCAGTGGGCCCAGCCTGGAGGTCAGTCAGGAGTTGGTGTGCAGGAGGTGGGTCACGGCAACCTTGGGCGTGAAAATGCAGACCCCTCGGAAGGGGCTCTGAGGCTTGTAGCCCCGCTTCAGTACGCCCGTGGGGGGCTGGGCAGAGGGGTGAACAACAGAGGGAGCTGGGAGGGGAGAGGGACACCTCCTGCTGTGGAAGTCCTATGTGGGCACTCAGGAGCCTGGGTGCAGGGAGGGCAGGGGAGGGTGCTGTGTGGCTCTGCAGATCAGGAAACTGAGGCTCAGAGAGGCCAAATCACTCATCTGAGGTCAGAGAGCTCCTGAGGAGGAGGAGGGGAGGAAGGGAGAGGGGGAAAGGAGGGAAAGAGCGGGGAGGAGGGGGCGAGGAGGAGGGAGAGGAGGGGGAGAGGGGGAGGAGGGGGAGGGAGGAGGGAAAGAGAAGGAGTGGGAGGAGGGACAGGAAGAAGGGGAAGAGGAGGGAGACGAGGAGGGAGAGGGGAGAAGGGAGCGGGGAGGGGAGAGGCTGGACCTGGGTCCAGGCTCGTGACTCCAGACCAGGCCCTGCGAACCCTACACCGCACGCGTGTGCTACAAAATACAAAGTGCAGGGTGGCCAAGACCCGTGCATCCGCTCACGCCTCTGGGAGGGGCAGCTGGGGGAGTCTCGGTAAAGGAGGAGGCAGGGGGTTGGGGTGGCCGTGGGTTTGGGAGGGCTGCAGGGAACGGGTGCAGGGTGCATGTCACACCTTGAAGGATACAATCCGTCCATGAGGAATCTCTCCATGAGTCTGCAAGGAGAATGGGGAGGGGTCAGCAACAGCCCCTGCGGCGCCCTGGCTGACAACCTGTTCCCACTGCAGCTCACACAGCCTCCTCCTGGGACAATGCAGGGCTCTCCACCCACCTGGCACCTCCATGGTGGCCCCAGCCAGCACTATGGCTCGTCACCTCCTTGCGTGAGGCTGCTGGGGGCACAGCCCCTGACCACCAATATCAGCTGAAGCAATAAAGGTCCCTTTCCCCTGAGCTCAGCCACCTGTCTACACAGGAGCAGTCTGGGTGAAACACAAACTCAACCCATCTGAAGTGAGTCTGACCGGCCCACTGACCCAGCCCTGCCCCTGAATTATCCAGTCAGTGGTATCACCTGTCCCTATACCTGGACCTGTGTACCAGCACCGACCCTTTCACAGACCATCCCAAATGAGTGCACCCCTACTCCCGAATGTGGCACTCTGTGGCATGCACGGGGAAACCAAGACAGGGAGGCTGTGCCCTCTGACACCATCCCCCAAGCTCTGCAGGCCCCTCTTGCCGCCTTCAGGCCTCTGCTCACGTGTTCCCGAGCAGGGAGATGCTCCCATCACCCCGTTTGTAAGAGGAGAACTCTACCCCCTCCATCCTTCACCCCTCCTGGGCCTGCAGGTCACACCAGCTAGGAAGCATTTCAGAGTGGGGTGTTCAAAGAAGTCTTTCAATTTTCAGATTAGTGCTGATTCCCAGTGCCTAGAGCTGCACGGATGGCGGAGTGAGCTTGATCAGTGTTTGAACAAATGCACACGAACACAGTGAACAAGCTTAATTAATACATATCCTGAATCCAGTGAGAGAACACACATTCTTTTCCAGCTTACATAACCACCGACCACCAATTAGACCCCACAGGAAACCGCAAAACACCACCCTTGCCCAAAATACACCATCATGTCCTCTGACTACACGCGGTAAGTTGAAAATAAAAAGCAACAACAAGTTTAACACCCCATACATTTGAAAACTGAAAAACGAGACACTCAAATCCACTTCTAAACAACCTGCAGGTGACAAAATAAATCACAAAGGAAACAAGAATTATTTAGGATAGAAAGATATCTAAAAAGTCCTATATAAGTTCCACTTATGGGAAAATGGAGTGGACATACTTTTCCCTTTCCTGGCTAAGGATGACTGAAAACTCTGGGCATTAAAGAAAAAGCAAACACAAGACGACTCTGTACAATGGAGGAGGCTGACTCACAAAGGACTTCAGGACCCCAGGAACAACGTGGCTGTGAGTCCTGGGTTTTCTTTTTGCCTCGTTACCCGGACTTGGAGCTGAAGAAGCCGGCAGCCTGAAACACCAATAGAAGCCGACAAAAAAGCCCCAACAAGAGCCTGCTCTCTTTGGCCAAAGTACCAGGAAAGGGGCAGCCAGCAAGACAAAAACTTTCGGACAATAGCCACCAGTCAAACACCCGAGGAAAAACGGTGGCCCCTACCCTCAACCCCAGGAGCAATGGTCTGGGAGGGGAGCCTGGACATCCCCCCCTGGCTAGGGTAGAGTCAAAGGTCAGGAAGGGAGCAGAACTTCCACCCCTGTCTGATGGTAACGAAGAACCCCTCCCATCCCCACATGGTCAGTGGGGAGCCTGGACTTCTATCCTGTTCTGGGTTGAACTCTGTCCTCCAAAAAGATCTGCTGAAGTCCTGACCCCTGTACCTGTGAACGTGTCTGTCTGGAAACAGTGTCTTTGCAGACGTAATTAGTTACCATGAGGCCATGCTGGAGCAGGGTGGGCCCTAATCCTGTATGACTGGTGTCCCTGTAAGAGAAGAGACACGGAGACAGAGACAGAGGAGAGACGGCCACGAGGCAGAGACTGGAGTAATGCTGCTCCAGGCCAAGAACACGCAGGGCCACAGATTTCCAGCCGCCAGAACCAGTTTGTAGGACTTTATTGGGGCAGCCCTAGGAAACCAAGACCCACTCCCGGCAGTAATGAGGGGGTGCTGCACCCCCTTCCCTTGCTGGGACAGTGTCACAGGAAGCCAGCTAAAACAGAAGGTTTAAAGAAGACCTGGAGTTTCATAATTTAATTCTCAAAAAATGTCTAAATTTCAATAACACCAGGAAAATCTCAAGCTGAATGAAAACAGATAATCAAGAGATGGCAACGCTGCCTTCCTGTGGGTTACTTGAACCTTCTTCTGAACTTCCATTGATTTATCTGCAGCATTGCTGAGTGGGTTTTTTTTTTTTTTTTATTTAATAGCTTTCATAGTGGTTGCTATGCTGTTGTTGGTTGCTGTTGAGACAATTCCGACCCATGGTGACTCCATTTGTGCACCGTAGAACTGCCCCATAGGATTTTCAAGGCTGTAACCGTTCAGAAATAGACTGCCTGCCAGGTCTGTCTTCCAAGGCGCCTCTGGGTGGGTTTTAATCGCCAATCTTTCAGTTAGTTGTCACTGCTTGCGTTATTACCTTATACACGTATAACTTTTCCACAGTCTGCTGGCGTCAACATTCACCACTGGAGTGAAATGCACACTACTTCCCTACCTCCCTTTATGTCCCTTTACCCTCTCTTGTTTGATGTCTTAAGTATTTTCTCTACATACATTGAGAACTCCATCAGACAGTATTATAATTTTTGCTTCAACAAACATAATTTAAAAATGCAAGAAGAAAATAAAGTCTATTGCACTGTATTTAGTTTTCCTTACACTGTTCTTTCTTCCTTCCTGATGTACAAGACTTCTCCTTTTATCATTTTCTTTCTGGTTAGACAGCATCCCTTAGCCATGCTTTTTGGGGAGGTCTGTTGGAAACAAATTCTCTTAGTTTTCCTTCATCTGAGAATGACTTCCCCTCCATCCTTGCAGGATATTTTTGCCGGATTTAGGATTGTGGGTTGACAGTTCTTTTCTTTCAAAACTGTGCCACTTCTTTCTTGCCTTCATGACTTCTGATGAGAAACTCACGTCATTCTAACTGTTTTTTCCCTACAAGTAAAGTGTGGTTTCTCTCTCGCTGCTTTCAAGATTTTTTCTTTGTCTTTAGTTTAGTTGTGTCCTGACGGGGTTTTTTGTTTGGTTTGTTTTTTGCTTTGGTTTATCTTCTGGACACCATAGGTTTATGTCTTTTGCAAAATTTAGGACGTTTCAACCATTATTTCTTCTAGCACTTTTTTTAGTTCAGCCCTCTTCTTCCTCTCCTTCTAGGATTCTGATGACACAAATGTCATCTTTTATTAATAGTCCCACAGGTCCTGGAAGTTCTGTTCATTTTCTCCCAATCTATATTCTTACTGTTGTTCATATTGGATAATTTATATTCTATTTTTCAGTTCAGTGATTCTTTTCTTTGTCTCTCCATCCTGTTCTGACCCCATTCAGTGAGTTTTTCATTTTGGTTACTGTATTTTTCAGATCTAAAATTGCCATTGGATTCTTATTTATATCTTCTATTTCTTTGAAGAAAGTTTGTTTTTTTCCATTTGTTTCAAGCAACCCATACTTGCTCACTGAAGCATTTTTATGATGCCTGCTTTAAAAGCTTTGTCAGATAATTCGGCCATCTATCTCATCTCAGTGTTGCCATTTATTGATTATCTTCAAAATTTTATCCACCCAACAACAGCACAATACATATTATTCTCAAATGTCTGCAGAACATAGTACAAGATAGGTCATATCCTGGGCCATAAACAAACCTCAACAAAATTAAAACAACTGAAATCATACAGAGTGTGTTCTTGGACCAGAATGGAATCAGACTAGAAATCAGTAATAGAAAGACAACAGGAAAATCTCCAAACATTTGGGAACTGAACAACACACTTCTTCTAAACAATCTGTGGCCAAAAAGGAAGCCCCAAGGGGGAAAAAAATTGAACTGAATGAAAATACAACATCAAAATTGGTGGAAAATAGCCAAGTTAGTGAAAAAGAAATGTATGGCATTAAACGTATACATTAGAAAAGAGGGAAAGTCCCATATCTACAGTCTAAGCTTCCACCCTCAAGAGTCTAGAAAAAGAAGAACAAAATAAACCCAAATGCAAGCAGAAGGGAGGAAATAATAAAGATAAGAGCAAAAATCAATGAAATGGAAAATGGAAAAACGGAGAAAATTAATGAAACAAAGAGAAAATCAAAGAGCTGGTTCTTTGAAGGATGAACAAAGTTATCAAACCTTCAGCAAGACTGATAAAAACAGAACAACACAAAATACCAGTACCAAGAATGAAACAGGGGCTATCACTACAGACCCTGCAGAATCAAAATAAGCTAATATTACAAATACACATATATTTGACAACATAGATGAAATGGACCAATTCCTCGAAAAGTACAAACTGCCCCAATTCACCCAATATGAAATCGATCACTTCAATGGCCCTACAACTATTAAGAAAATTTCATAATTAAAAGACTCGCCTAAAAGAAATCTCCAGGCCCAATAGTTTCAGTGGAGAATTCTACCAAACATTTGAGAATTAATATCAATTTTACATAGTCTCTTTCAAAAATAGAAGAGGAGGGAATTTGCAATTTTTAGAAGGCCCAGTGTACCCTGATACTAAAACCGGACAAAGAAAGTAGCAAAAAGGAAAAGAAAACCACAGACCAGTCTCACAGATGAATAAATCACTAACAAAATAATGCTGTTGTTGTTAGATGCTGTCGAGTCAGTTCTGACTCAGAGCAATGCTGTGTACAACAGAAAAAAACACCACCCAGTCCTGTGCCACTCTCACAATCATTATTATGCTTCAGCCCATTGTTGCAACCACTGTGTCAATCCATCTCATTAAGGGTCTTCCTTTTTTTCTATGACCCTCTACTTTATCAAGCATGATGTCCTTCTCCAGGCACTGGTCCCTTCTGATAACATGTCCAAAGTACATGAGATGAAGCCTCGCCATCCTTGCTTCTAAGGAGCATTCTGGCCATACTTCTTCCAAGACAGATTTGTTCATTTTTCTGGCAGTCCTTGGTATATTCAATATCCTTTGTCAACACCATAATTCAAAGGCATCAATTCTTCTTCGCTCTTCCTTATTCATTGTCCAGCTTTCACATGCATGTGAGATGATGGAAAATATCATGGCTTGGGTCAGGTGCACCTTAGTCCTCAAAGTCACATTTTAGTTTTTGAACACTTTAAAGAGGTCTTTTGCAGCAGATCTGCCCAATGCAATATGTCTTCTGATCTCCTGACTGCTGCTTCCATGAGCGTTGATTGTGGATCCAAGTAAAATGAAACCCTTGACAACTTCAATATTTTCTCCATTATTATGATATTGCCTATTGGTCCAGTTGTGAGGATTTTTGTTTTCTTTATGTTGAAGTTCAATCCATACCGAAGGCTGTAATCTTTGTCTTCATCAGTAAGTGCTCAAAGTCCTCTTCACTTTCAGCAAGGCTGTGTCATCTGCATATCACAGGTTGTTAATGAGTCTTCCTCCAAACCTGATACCACATTCTTCTTCATATAGTCCAGCTTCTCAGATTATCTGCTCAGCATACAAATTAAGTAAGTATGGTGAAAGGATATAACCCTGATACACACCTTTCCTGACTATAAACCACGCAGTATTCCCGTTTTGTTCAAATGACTGCCTCTTGGTCTATGTACAGGTTCCTCGTGTGCACAATTAAGTGTTCTGGAATTCCCATTCTTCTCAATGTTATCCATAATTTGTTATGATCCACACACTCGAATGCCTCTGCATAGTCAATAAAACACAGGTAAACATCTTTCTGGTATTCTCTGCTTTCAGCCAGGATCCATCTGACATCAGCAATGATATCCCTTGTTCCTCATCCTCTTCTAAATCCGGCTTGAATTTCTGGCAGTTCCCTTTTGATGTACTGCTGCAACCACTTTTGAATAATCTTCAGCAAAATTTACTTGTGTGTGATATTAATGATATTGTTTGATAATTTCCACATTCTGTTGGATCACCTTTCTTTGGAGTGGGCACAAATATAGATCTCTTCCAGCTGGTTGGCCAGGTAGCTGTCTTCCAAATTTTCTGGCATAGATGAGCGAGCATCTCCAGTGCTGCATCCATTTGCTGAAACAAATTCCGTCAGTTCCTGAAGCCTTGTTTTTCACCAATGCCTTCAGTGCAGTTTGGACTTCTTCATTTAGATCCATTGGTTCTTGATCATATGCTACCTCCTGAAATAGTTGAATGCTGACCAATTCTTTTTGGTTGTGACAGTGACTCTATGTGCTCCTTCCATCTGCTTTTGATGCTTCCTGCATCATTCAATGTTTTCCCCATAGAATCCTTCAGTAAAGCAACTTGAGGCTTGAATTTTTTCTTCAGTTCTTTCAGCTTGAAAAATGCTGAGCGTGTTCTTCCCTTTTGGTTTTCTAACTCTAGATCTTTGCACCTTCTATTATAATACTTCACTTGTCTGTCAGTTTGTCGTACTGTGGTGGCTTGCGCGTTGCTGTGATGGTGGAAGCTATGCCACTCATATTTCAAGTACCAGCAGGGTCACCCATAGTGGACAGGTTTCAGCGGAACTTTCAGACTAAGACAGACTAGCAAGAAGGACCTGGTGGTCTGCTTCTGAAAAAATTGGCCACGGAAAACCTTATGGATAGAAGCAGGACATTGTCTGACATAGTGCCAGAAGTGAGCCCCTCAGGTTGGAAGGTACTCAATATACGACTGGGAAAGAGTCGCCTTCCCAAAGTAGAGTCGACCTCAATGACGTGGAAGGAGTAAAGCTTATGGGACCTTCATTTGCTGATATGGCATGACTCAAAATGAGAAGAAACAGCTGCAAACATCCATTCATAATTGAAATGTGGAATGTATAAAGATTGATATCCTAGGCATTAGTGAGCTGAAATGGACTGGTATTGGCCATTTTGAATCAGATAATCATACGGTCTGCTATGCCACCAATAACAAATTGAAGAGGAATGGTTGCATTCGTCGTCAAAAAGAACATTTGAAGATCTATCCTCAAGTACAATGCTGTCAGCGATAGGATAATATCCATATGCCTACAAGGAAAACCAGTTAATACAACTATTATTCAAACTTACATACCTATTAATGCCAAAGATGAAAAAATTGAAGATTTTGACCAACTTCTGCAATTTGAAATTGATCAAACATGCACTCAAGATGTTGGTGATTGGAATGCAAACAGTGGAAACAAAGAAGGATCAGCAGTTGGAAAATACGGCCTTGGTGATAGAAACGATGCCGGAGATGGCATGATAGAATTTTGCAAGACCAATGACTTCTTCATTGCAAATACCTTTTTTCACCAACATAAATGGCAATGGACCTTGGCAGATGGAATACAATGAAATGAAATCAACTACATCTGTGGAAAGAGATGATGCAAAAGCTCAAAATCATCAGTCAGAACAAGGCCAGGGGCTGACTTCAGAACACACCATCAACCGCTCATATGCAAGTTCAAGCTGATGCGGAAGAAAATTAAAACAAGTCCATGAGAGCCAAAGTATGCCCCTGAGTATATCCCACGTGAATTTAGAGCCCATCTCAAGAATAAATTTGATGCACTGAACACGAACAACCGAAGACCAGACAAGTTGTGGAATGACATCAAGGATATCATACAGGAAGAAAGCAAAAGTTCATTATAAAGACAGGAAAGAAAGAAAAGACCAAAACAGATGTCAGAAGAGACTCTGAAACTTGCTCTTGAACGTAGAGTAGCTAAAGTGAATGGAAGAAATGAAGAAGTAAAACAGCTGAACGGAAGATCTTGAGAAGACAAAGTGAAGTATTATAATGAAATGTTAACTACTTAAGATTCTTATTTTTTGCTGCTTCAAGTGAGGCTGTAGGAGACTGGCACTGGACATAGCGGGTGAAGAAGCACGGGTTCACAGGCAGGCCACCTTGGGCCTCATACCAAGTGACGCTCTCTCACGGCTCTCCATCATCAAGCTTACTGTCTGCTGTCCTTGTTCTCTCTTTGTTGGTTCTAAACTTGGATAGGGAAAAGAGGTGTTATTTATTGGGTAATCTCCAAAACCTACAACATTCACCTTCACTTTTAACATACAGGCATGTTGCTGAGTATGGTCAAGCAAGTCTAAAACTCTCAACCAGAGTTGCAGGGTGTGTGTGTGTCTGACAGAGACAGAGAATGTGAATTAATGAAGAAGGCAAAAAACAGCAAAGCCCCTAGAGAATCATTCACAGCTATCTGAACATGTTAATAAATACCTGGAGCACCTGGAAGACAAGACAAGACTCACAGATGCCTGGTCAGTGGTGTGTGGCCACCTGACCCTTATCCTGTGAAGGAAGAAAGGGACATATGCCTCCACAAGCCTTGACAGGTGAGGAAGGGGCTCTCCCAAGGATGACACCTCCAGACGAGCTGCCACCACTTCAGAGTGGCCTGGACTCTCTAGGTAGGGAGTTCCACACCTGAGCACATAGGCACGGAAGTCAGTTCAAAGAATAAGTGCATCTTTATCATTTTTATCCCCTCTTCTCAATCTCAGTGAGTCCCTCCAAGAAAACACCTTCACCCCTGTGTTCAATCTGTCACCGGCTGTACTGGTCACACCTCCCAGTGTCCTCTCTCCACACCCACCAGCACCACCTCTTGATGTATTGGCTGACACATGGGAACACCCCTGGTCTCACCTTCTCACCCGGAGGTGCTTCAAGGAAGGAATGATGGGTGGCCCGCCACACCTGCTGCCAGGTCTCACACGTAAAGCCCCATTTCCTCAGTCCTCATCACTTGCCTACCTCCAACACGCCTAACCTAGCTGTTGATGTGCACACCTGGGCTCCAGGTAGGACTGTTTTCTCCCACCCCCACAGACTTTCCTAAGAGCCCTCAGAGATCTGCGCCAGGCCTGGCCTTTCGTCCCTAACCTCCCAACATACTTGGACTTGCCCACCGCACTGTCGCCCAGACAGATGATCTTCACATTTTCGTCAGCGTCGTATTTCTCTTGGTCCAGCTCACAGGGTTTGGCTCTGTCCCCAGCCATCTGCTCCTGGTGATGAAGAGGGGCCCAGCACAGTCTGGGAAGATCAAGAAGAGGCTGCAGTTACAGAGATGAGTAGTCTCTACCAACTCTGCTTCCCCTTGATCTTGAGAGGGGCCCCAGGCCCTCTAGCTGTGCACAGGCCACACCCCCCACTCCCACTCGGACAGACAGTTTTCCAAAGCCATGTGGGAGCTTCACAAGTTTTACATATGAAACAGCTTTCTCGCGTGTAAAACACAGACAAAAACAGTGCCCATGGCCCAGGGGCAATGCGAGACGGTGTCTGGGAAAGAGACAACGCGCAGGTGCCGAATGACACGCTCTACACCACACAGCCAAAGACGCCAACCCTACATTTCTGGTCCACTACCTTCATGCTTCTCACCTTCCCTTCACTGTGCACCCTACTGCAATCAGCTGTACACCGCTGTTCCCCAGGCCCTCTTCTCCGGGGCTATCTCAATCTCTACAGGTTTCACCTATATCCTAGATGTTGATAATGCCAAACCTGTGCCTCCACCAAGATCTCGTCCCTCAGTGCCAGACTCACATATGCAATTGCCTACCACGCAATTATCAGCAGGGACCAGTCCATGGAGGACATCATGCTTGGTAGAGTGTCAGTGGAAATGAGGAAGACCCTCAACGAGACGGACTGACATAGTGGCTGCAACAATGGGCTTAAGCATAGCAACGACTGTAGGGATGGCGCTGCACCCGGCAGTGTTTTGTTCTGTTGTACGTCCGGTCGTTATGAGTCGGAACCGACTCCACGGCACCTAGTAACCACCACCAGGCCAGGACTAGCAGACTATGTCACACAGGCATAAACAGCATGTCAAAACCCAAATACTTCACTTCTGCTCTCCTCAAACGCTGCTCCTCGGGTTCCCCATCTGTACCCAAGCTGGGCCCGTCACCTGGTGGGCTTCTGGCTCACGTGCGGTCCCGGGAGCGGGCTGGACGGAGATCAGTCAGGCCCCCCCCGGCGGCCCCACCCCCGGGTCCCGCCCGCCCGCCGCCCCCCGACCCTGCCATCCGTCTCCACCACCTACCGGGGCTCACAAAAACCACACCGCGCTTCTCGATCAGCCCGCGTCCTCGCAGGTGCTACGCAACCGCGCAGGGACCCCTCAGAGGCTGCCCGGCCGAAGGCCTGAAGGACCCCGGTGGGGCGCGGGCTGGCTAGCGCGGTGCCTGGCGGAGGACGCCGGTGAGTCCGGCCCGACCCAGACTGGCCTGGTCCTCCAGGCAGTCGGGAATCTGATGGGCTTGGGCCCCGGACGAGGGTAATGGTTCAGGCCACCTCAGGCCTCGGGGAGCGGCGTGGGTCTTCGGGCACCGGGTCTTAGGTGTGGGAGGCGGCGTGCAGGTGTGGAGGTTGCAGTCGGGGGCGCCCGAAGGAGCACGCGGGGGCGACCTCGGGGGAGTGGAGGGGCGGGGGCCCCAGGTGTGGGAGGCAAATGATCAAGCAATTTCTAAAATTTGTAAATCTCTGATGGGGTGAATATGAGCAAATTTCTGGACATTTATTGTTAATCAAAAGCGGAGACAGCCATGGCTGAGACTGCAGTAGGAGAGCAACCTTGCCCTCTGACCGTAGGCCGCGTGTCCGTCCCTGGACGGCCCCTCGCTGACCGGCCTTCTAGCTCAGGTGCACTCCCTGATTCATTCAACAGATACCTGTTGAGAGCAGCTGTGTGCTAGGGCCCTCCCAGCCTTCCTGGAGCTGACCTGGTGGGCAGAGATGTACATCAAAGAACCGTTCTTACACAGTTAAAAGCTGATGTGAGTCCTCTGCAGAAAACGTGCATGGGGCGAGGAGACACTCTAGTGGGTGAGTGGAAGCTAACCAGGAGAAAGCCTCCACAAGACCTGTCTGGCCAGCAAGCCTTTTGGGGCTGAAAGGCTCATGAAGCTGGAGCAAAAGAAAGCTAAAGGGGAAGGGGGAGCCCGGAGAGGCACCAGGGCCATTCAGGCAAAACCTGGCAGGCCGTAGTAGGGGCTTTGGTTTTATCCTGAGAGCAGGGTGCCTTAAAGGATTAAGGAGAGGGAGGCTCTGATTGGATTTGCATTTTGCTGTGTGAACGTCCAGAGAGTGAGGATCGTGGCTTGGACTGAGATGGTGTGTCAAAGAAAATTTCAGAGATTAAGGCAGATTTTAAATTAATGATGAGTTTATCTGAGCAGGACTGTTACAGTTTGAATTGTGTCCCCCCAAAATGTGTATTGACTTGGCTAAGCCATGATTCCCAGTATTGTGTGATTGTCCACCATTTTGTCATCTGATGTAATTTTCGTATGTGTGGTAAATCCTACCTCTATGATGTTAATGATGTTAAAGACCTGCTTAAAGTGTTGAAAAGTAAAAACGTCACCTTGCAGGTATACGTGACCAAAGCCATGATTTTTTCAGTTGCCTCATATGCGTGCGAAAGCTGGACAATGAATAAGGAAGGCTGAAGAAGAATTGATGCCTTTAGATTGTGGTGTTGGCGAACAATATTGAATAGACCGTGGACTGCCGAAAGAAGGAACAAATCTGTCTTGGAAGAAGTACAGCCAGAATGCTCCTTAGTAACAAGGATGGCGAGACTATGTCTCACATACTTTGGACATGTTATCAGGAGGGATCAGTCCCTGGAGAAGGACATTATGGTTGGTAAAGTAGAGGATCAGTGAAAATGAGGAAAACCCTCAATAAGATGGATTGATACAGTGGCTGCAATAATGGGCTCAAGCATAACAACGATGGTGAGGATGGTGCAGGACCGGGCAGTATTTCATTCTGTTGTCCATAGGGTCACTGTTAGTTGGAACCGACTCAACAGCACGTAACAACAATAGCAACGACAATGATGTTAATGAAGCAGGATTAGCGGCAGTTATGTTAGTGAGGCAAGACTCAGTCTAATGATTAGATTGTGTCTTAAGTCAACCTCTTTTGAGATTTAAAAGACAGAAGCTAGCAGAGAGGGGGAACCTCATGCCACCAAGAAAGCCACGCCAGGAGCAGAGCGTGTCCTTTGAACCCAGGCTCCCTGTGCTTGAGAAGCTCCTAGAGCAGGGGAAGGTTGATGACAAGGACCTTCTCCCAGAACCGACAGAGAAGGCCTTCCCCTGGAGCTGGCACCCTGAGTTTGAACTTCTAGCCTCCTAGACTGTGAGAGAATAAATTTATCTTTGCTAAAGCCATTTACTTATGGTATTTCTGTAATAGCAGCACCAGATGACTAAGACAAGGACCAAATGATTCATAAATCAGGCAGCATCCAAACTGAAAGTGGAAAGGAGTTCCTATGACAGGTGACAGGTAAAAGGTCAAGGTTTATTTAGCTGGAACAAGGACGTTAGAGACTTAAAATTAAGGTTTAACGTTTGTGAAAATAGGGTAAAGGATGTTCAAATAACATGTAGTCATAAAAGCGGTCAGTTAGTGATTTCTTACCAACGAGCACGAGGGTGACCTGAGGAATTGTTACTTCAGGCATAGAACATGTGAGTCACGGGGGGCAATAAACCAGCATCTGCTAATTATTTATGAGCAAGTGATTTCCCTAAGAGTTTGGGGCAATTTTGATCTTTCAGTTGTTAGGCTAGAGCAGGTCTGGAGGGTATACATTTTTATTCTTAAAGGAAGCAGCTGTGATGTATAAGCTGCCCTATGAAGAGCCCTACATGGCAAAGGACTGAGGGAGGGTCCTGATCAACAGTCAGAGAGGAAAAGAGGCCCCCAGTCCAACAGCTCACAAGACACTGAGTCCTGCCCATAACACAGGAGTGAGTAGAAAGTTGATCCTCCCCAACTGAGCCCGAGTAGAGACTGCAGCCCGTTTCCTGAGAGACTTTGGGGCAGAGGTACCAGCTAAGCTGTGCCCGGAGCCCTGTTCCACAGAGACTGTGAGATTGTCCATGTGTGTTGTTGTGAGCTACTAAGTTTTGGGGTCATGTTGTCACAAAGCAGTAGATAACTCCTCCAGTCCACCAGGCCCTGGGGTCTGTGCCTGCCCTCCTCCCTCCCTCTGTTCTCTTCTCCTAAGCTTGCCTGCATCACACTGGCCATGATCCGACCTCCCCTCTGGACAATCTCATGTCCGTCTCCGAGTCTCTGCACCAGCTGTGCCTTCTTCCTGGCACTCTGTCCCCAGACTTGTGCAGGGTTAATCCCTCTTGTCATTGTGGTCACAGCATCAGTGTCACCTCAGTGAGGCCTCTCAGAATCCCCAAGTAGAATCCCATTGACCCTCCCTCAGCGCTCTGCTTTATTTTTGCTGTATTACTTGCTCTTTCTTCTGCATGTATTTGTGTTCATGCTTTTGCCCATCTCCCCTCCAGACTGTGAGCCCCTGGGGGCAGGGATCACGTGGGTCATTTTCAGCACCCACCCAGGACCTAACACAGCCCTGGCACGGGGCGAGCGCTCGGGGCATAGTTACTGAATAAAGAAATGATAGTATCTCAAATTCCCTTCCCACCCCTGAGCAGCTCAGATTCTGGAGATGTATTCTGATAATAGGAGGTGCAAGTCCAAGGCAAGGGGATGACCAGGATGGCCTCTGGGCGACAATTCCCGGGCCCCAGTTTCTCCAGCAAAGCCCAGGGGCACTACTGGCAGAAGAGGCTGCTGCCCCCAGTGGCCAGTGTTAGCACTGCAGCCCCAGGCAGGAAAACCACAAAACCCACAGCTTTGTTCAGGTTAGACAAAGGAGCAGGACCAGCAGATCCACGGGTGGTGTAGGGGACCTCAGAAAACCCTTGCCCCCTCTTTACCTTCACTGGCCCCAGCATGTGCAGCTTGCTCTCTAGGCATCCTCCCTGCATTCAAAGCAAAGACTCTTGTTCCACTTAACCAGGAAGACCCCAAGTCTCCAACAGGGACTGGTCCTGATTCTGGACTTGGACCTGTGGTCCAGTGCCCTGCCATGCTCTCCCTAACCCCAAGTCCACTGTCCCCCAGACCAATCCTCTCATGCGTCTGAAGTGCCTCCAGGGGGTAGAAATCATTTTCTAAGACTTCAGAGCGCAGTGAGTCATTGATGGAGAACCAAGTCCAGCAGACACTTCTCCAAGCCCAGGGAATCCTTGGGGTCACTCACTTCAAGCACCTCAGTTTATAGAGGAGGAAGCCAAGGCCGCCTTTCTCCTAGCTCCAGGGGCCCAGAACGGTGACAGCAGGACCCGTCCCTGTCCTCTCAAGGTTGCCCTAGGGATGGCCTGGCCCAGCCAGACCATCCTTGCTGTGCTGATTAAGGTTGTGTGTCAACTTGGCTGGGCCATGGTTCTCAGTGGTTTAGCAGTTATGACGTAATTTGGCGGTTATGTAATGGTGTAGTTATTCTCCATTTTGTGATATAATGTGATCACCTCCATGGTGTGATCTGATGTGATCAGCTAATCAGCTGTAAGGGGAGTTTCCTTGATGGTGTGGCCTGCATCCAATATATACAGATGTTCTGGCAAAACTCACTGGCTTTTGCTTGCTCTGGATACTGCATCTGGCTCATCATCATCCGACCTCTTGTTCTTGAGACTTAAGCCAGCGGCCTACTGTATTGCCTGCTGATCTTAGATTTGTCAGACTCTGCAGCCTGTGAGCCAGCAGCCTGCCATCTGACCTGCTGATTTTAGATTTGTCAGCCTTTGCAGCCCATGAGCCAGTGGCCTGCTGTCTGACCTGCCTGCCTATCTTGGGTTCATCAGCATTTGCACCCCATGAGCCACATGGTGACTCCAACTGCAGCTGCTGTTCCAGATGTGGTTTCATTGCTTGAGCAAATTAATATATCTCCTGATAACCTGGTATGCAACTATTGATCTGGCCGATGACTTTTTCTTGATTCCAGTTTCAAAGGACCACCAGAAGCAGTCTGCCTTCAGCTGGCAAGGCCAGCAAAGCACCTTCAGTTGCCTACCTCAGGGCTACGTCACCTCTCCAGCCCTATGTCAAAATTTAGTCTGCAGGGACATTGATTGCCTTTCCCTTCCACAAGATGTTAGACTGGACCATTACATTGATGACATTATGATAGTTGGACCTAATAAGGAAGAAGTATCAACTACTGTGGACTTATTGGTAAAACATTTGT